ATGACGATGACGATGACGATGACGATGACGACGACGACGACAGTGACAATGACAGTGACGACGGTGACGGTGACGGTGACGACGGTGACGGTGACGGTGACGGTGACGGTGACGGTGACGACGATGATGGTAACAGCGATCGATGATCAGTGACGGTAATGATGATGATAATAACGATGACGGGTGGCGGTGATTGATGACGACGGTGACGGTAACAGTGACGACAGTAATGGTGATTATGATGATAACAATAATGATGATAACAATAAGAATCACGATAAATATGCAATGACGACAAGAACGATAACAACGGTACAATAACGACAATGACAACGATGGGAATAACAATAATAACAATGACGGCAATTACACTATCACTATCCACCACTTGTTCCATCGGGCGCTGCAATCGGCCTGCGCGCTTATCGATTAAACGTTGTGGCACAATCGCGTGTGTAGGATAGAGTATGCGAAGGTGCGTGACATTTATTTCTAGACATCTCGTATCGATATCCAAATACTTAAATAAAATTAATTTAATAAAGAAAGAAAGAAAATAGTTTTATAAAAAAAGCACAATAAATAGCCAACCTTTAAATTGAGTGGATAAAAAAGGATCATATCATCATTATCGATATCACAAGATTATTACTCAAGCAACAGAAAGATAGAATCACATAACACCGAGAAACTTGGCAGTTATTTGAGCACTGTACTCCTATTATTACCTACTGCTGTCGGTTGCTTTTTATAATAGTGAAGATGATGGTAGAGTGTCTACCACTATAACTGTTCATTGGTGCAGACAGAGGCACTACTACTTGGATGAAAGCCAGCTGTGCGCCTGCCTCAGCGATTATCCCAAGCCACCCTGCGCTTCGGATCACGCGTCGTTTCCCGCATTTTACTCCAGTGACGAAATAGCACTTTTCAAGTGGGAGCAAATTCCACGCGCTTGCAGGCATACAAAAAATTAAACATTATAAACGTAATGTCAACCAAAATAAGACGAAGTTCAAATAATAAGATTTTAATTGTCATTCATAGCTATTTAATCTATTACGATATTAAAGTATTAATTCGTGAAGTTGATAAAATAATTATGGCAACTAAATTATTGATTTCTTACAAGGATTTATATAATGCATTTAAATTATCAATAGAACAATTTTATAACAGTTATGCGTAATATAAGAAAACATACTTGAAAACATTACATTTCAACAAAAAAAATTTTATCATTAATATCACATTATATATATATATATATACACACACACTGTTATATTAAATATAATATAAAACGTGTGTGTGTGTGTGTGTATGTGTGTGTATACGCGCGCGCGCGCGCGTATGCGTGACCACACACACACACACACACACGCGCGCGCGCGCACATATACAAAATAATAATAAAAACAAAAGCAAGATGATAAAGGCTTCAATGTTAAAAAACAAATATTTAAAACAATAGAACATAAAGCAAACATTGTTTTAAAATGACTATATTAAATCAATTCATCAATTCATTAAAAAATATGAAACAAACGTTTCGACCATACGATTCATCTTTACTTGTAAAAATTAAAATTATAGGAACAATAATTACGGGAGAAATCTCTTCATTTATTGCAAAACTTAAATCTAAAGTAACATAACGCAAAAACACATCGCAAATAACATTTGAACGACCTGACGATTGTTCGAATCTTCGTCGGTTGTGATCTCGTTCCATTATAGATTTTAAGCGCAGTCAAATATTTATAAAAAAAGAACTTCGGTCAGCAGAAGAGCCCACCAATTAAATGGCCACATCTCGCAAATAAAACTGTAAAGTGTTAGGGTCCTAAAACGAACAGTGATTATTACATCATGTCCGATAACAAAAACAAGTTAAGCTGGATGCATAATGAAACACAGGCAACAAATATCAATTTATGAGAAACCGTGTATTAATGCAAAATATAGATCAATGGAAAATATAGACAATAGAAACAGGGAATAGGAATAAAATTTTCAACGTTATTGGATTTATATTCCTTATTGCCTGTTCCTGACCAATCATAGTAATTTGCTTTGTTTAATGTTTACCTGTAACCTTTTATATTATTCTAGTCTAGTTTCTATTGATATCTTAATTCGTTAATAATAGACATAGAACCAGATTTGAGTCAATAGAAACGCTACAAATTGCGCTCATTTCAATCTTCAATTCACAAATCTTTACTTCCGATGGAAACAGTATATTAAATTTGATCCATACCAAAGTAGAATCGAATTGAAGTCTTCGTTGGAAACTAGACCATTGTGGTTTATGTAGAGAATTTATATCGCTGAGTTTTGATTGGTTAGTTTTTGTTGCTATCGCTGTCATTGGTTTAATTTTCACCGATGTCTTAATTCGCTTCTAATACAACGTAGAACCAGATTTGAGTCGATGGAAATCGCGACAAATTGCTTATTTCAATCCCGCTTCGATCCACAATTCTGTACTTCCGATGGAAACACAATATTAAATTTGAGCCATATCAAAGTAGAATTTAATTGAAGACTGGTGGAAACTAGACCTGTGTTTCTCTTGTGCATCCAGCTTTAGTGTACACTTAATGCAAAAGTGCGGAAAGTGCATGCGATACGAACAAATCTAAGACGAGTTTTTTTTAATTTATCAATTGATTAATCGTAAAATGCGCAAATGCTGTTTTTATAGAGCAAGGTTACACTTGCGCATAATGCGATTTATCAATCAATGAATTAAAAATCTCGCCTCTAACGTCATGTCGCATCTTGGGCAGAAATCTGATTGATGTCTTATTGCTTAACCGCTATTAGTGTCGGTCCACAATAGGTGATTTAAGCTTTAAGAAGTAAGAAATTGACCAATTATAATCGAATATGAAAAGAATAATCGATTATGATTGGTCAATTTCTTACGGTTTAAAGATTAAATACTTATTGTGGACCAACACTTATGCGCATTGGTTCACCTGCTTCTATATCATCTTTTTCATCTTTTCGTGTCGTTGGCAGCCTGCATCTTGAACAATATGTCCGATGTATTTCGTACATTATACTTGTTCGATTGACGAAAATAGGAATAATAAGGACGAGAAACATTTATGTGGTGATCGTATATTCGTATTTTAATTCACGAAGTGCATTAATATTGATGTTGTTAACTAAATTATGTGTATCAGTGATTTAAATTACGAATTACGGTAAATATGTCAAACGAAAATATTATATATCTAAGAAGTTGCATGCATCTACTCATGAAATTTTTTTTCTGTTCACTTGCTGCTTGAATATTAAATATATACAAGTCCAAATATGTACAAACAAGTTTCAAATATTACATATCGAAAATTGCTTTAGCAATTTTCTCAATTCTATAACTTTTTTAAAATTATTTTTTAATAATTTATGTAAACATAAACAAATCTTTTTTTTATTTTACAGTTATTTTATTAGCAGATATTTTCATTATATAATAATAAATCCACATGAGTTAGATTCTATGAACAACATAATACATTCATATTGCTTCCTAATTGAAATATTTGCGTATTTTTTTTTTTTATTTTTGCATGCTTTTAAATAATGTTGAATTTGTTATTATAAATATTACTTCAAGAATGTATTTTAAAAACAAAGCCTAGTGATTTTTGATTATTCTTTTAAGTCTTGTAAATTTTTGCAAATATCACTTTTAGGTAACTAAAATTTCAACAAATATTAAAACTATCAATGGCAGAAAAAGAAAGGTTACCATCTTTTTCAGGTAAGAAATATATTTATTCATTTATTGCCACCATAGATTTTTGTGAAATTTAAGTTTCTAATAAAGAATTACTTTGCATAATGCTATTAGAAAAAGATGGCACTAATGTATCTCAATCAAAAGATACTTATGTTCCGGAAGAACCAACTCTGGATATTTCAATTTCCTTGTTAGACATACAAATGTCAGAAACACCAGAAAGTACTAAAGGCCAAATAAGTGATGGTGATACATCAAGATTAGAAAGTCCAAAGACAATAAAACCAGTACTGGGAAAAATCCAAGCTAAAAAACGATTAATGGCATTTGCTAATCAGTTCAAAGTATTATCTAAATCTAATGTTAAGCCAAACTTATTTCAGCATTCTATTGGAACTTTAAAAATAAAAGATAAAACTCTGCTGGATGATACAAATATAAGTAAATCAAGAAAAAAAACAGGTAATATAATACCTATTATATTTTATTATAGAATACATTTTGTAGTAAATTGATTACTTTATGGACATATAAATATTTTGATGAAACAGAAAGTATTTTCATTGGCCAAGGAATAAAATCTTAAGGATGAGAAATCTGTTGATCTGAATTAAATCAGTTTTCATATTTTGTGGCTCGATTATAATCAAACTATCAGTTTGAGATTTATGTATAATCAAATATAATACCTGAGATAAAGTAATATGTTTTATTCTGCAATATGCTGAATTGTTACATAAATATTTCCCATGATCAATTTGTTTTAGAAAATTATGCTTTTATCTATGTTTTTTAATGAAGAAAATCGTAATTAAATCGTTATCTTGGTTGATTATTTATTATAATAAACTTGATCTTCTGTTCTCTGACTTGAATTCCATAGAAACACGCTTTATCCAAATATTTTGTATGTCAATGGATTATTTATATTGCTCTAAGCTAATGCATATTACAGGCTGCTACATATGAAATATCTAAATGTAATCATATAGTCTAACTTCTTTGATAATGAAACTATTTAATGTATATTTTGTTAAAAATATGATAACTATATTGAATATATAGTTATTTAAAATATTACATTTTTAATATATTTCAATAATTTTCTGTATAGCAGTTTTTAGTATGTACCAAGATAGATCTGATGTTGTGTAGACGGTTAAATTTACTATTAAAACTATCAATTGTTGTGTTTATATAATATTTATTAATACATATTTAACAAATTTGAAATGAGTTTTTTTTTTTTTTTTTTTAAGATATATGTTATCAAAACTTTTTTATCTTTGCAAGATTTTGACAATAAAGTTACAATTTAAAAACTAAGAATTTTAAGATTACGACTCAATCTTAACTGGGAATTATAATGATTACATAATATTTTTATATACATATTGTATACCAGATTTTTTATATGTTTATATTATATTTTATTTGTATAGAACATCTCATTTTAATTTATCACCTCTTTTTTATCTTTGCAAGTTAAGATTCAATGAAAAATTTATTCAGATTTAAGTTTTATAGTTTCAAGAGGGATGATAATATGATAAGATAATCATATATTTCTCTTAAGATCTTTTCCATAAAATCTAAAACTTTTGTGTAAGACATTTTTTATATTTTAGATATTTTAGATATTTTTTATTATTAAGTTTAGGAAATATTTAACATTAAAAGGATACTTTATATAAATTTAATTATTAATTAAATATTATTAATTGAAAATAAAATTTTTAATCAAATTTTTTTTATGAAGATATGAGCATACATAGAATATCATTATGTAAAATAAAATCTTAAATTGTTTATTAAATATTGTAAAATGTGTTATTTAAATAAAAGGTAATATTTAAATAAACATTTTCTTTTTTATTAGGTTTTTATAATTGTTATAAGAATTTGTTACTTAACTTTTTTTCTAGTCGATAAAATTAATTCTTTTTGTCATGAATTAAAAGTTTTGCATATGCGTATGTACGTGCGCGCGCGCGCACGTACACAGGATCCTTCAAAAGTATGGAAACGGTCGTATATCTAAAATAAAACATTTTTCTCAAAAATGCTTTGTTTTCGAGCTATTCGATTATTACCATATTTTTTAAGGACTGTACATGCGTGCGTGCGTGCGTGCGTGCATACTTGCGTACACGTGCATGTGAGCGTGTGTACATATGTATGTATGTATATATGTATGTATGTGTAAAACTGAAATAAATATAGAATTTATATATATATATATAAATTGTATATTTAGGTCAGTTTTATTTTACAATGCATGTGTTACATTTTTACCTGATATTATAAAGTCAGCTGAGGACAAAGATGCAATGATAAACATCAATATTTTATAGAGTCACATAATTGGATTTGAAAAATCTGAACAGATTTGTATATTATTTTCGCAACTATCTATCGAATTCTAGACTAAATTCAGGTTTATAATTTCTTATATTTATTATTGTCAATTTTAAAATTGCAAATTCCGAAGAATGGGTAATCTCTTAAATTTTATTAATTTAAATTTTAACTAGCTCTTATAAGCTTATGTTAATATTTAGTAGAAATAAATATTTTCGAATGCTTTTTCTTATCTCAAAGGTCTATAGCATACAATAATTTAAAAATTGTAAAATTAATCTGTAAGGATGCTATATATATTATAATTTATAATTTTACAGAGGAAAAAATTCTAGCTATTGAAGAAATTCGAAGAGAAGAATCTAAAAGTAAAATGTTACTTGCAGAAGCTATGGCAACAGGTATTTATTTAACTATATGATTGTAATATCAGATATGTAATATTGTAATATTTAATGACAAAAATTTCTTTAGTAAGTATGGAAGATGAAAATTGTACTAGCAAGAATATATCTGGCTTATTTGAAAATACAAGATATGTGAAAGAAAAAAATAAACATGAAAGAACGAATAATGATCGTAAAAATAAATCCATAGATCAGAAATATTCAAAGAGGTAAATAAAAGATTTTTATTACAATTATTTTTTTCTCCTAATTTTTATACATAGTGTTATGACTGAGCGGTGATCCACTCGTCGTTGTCTCCGAAAATCGATTTTAGGAAGAAAAGATCGTTCTCTATCGACGGAATGTTTTCGATGGTTTTGATGATTAGTTGTTATTTGGCGTTCTTTGATTTTGACAGAGCTGCAGAGCAGCCGCGATTATTTCATTTTTCTGTTTCTGAAGTTAATAAAGTTAATTCTCTCTTTGATAAACGAATTTGCTTATTTCGCGAGTGTGACACTGTGCGAGTGCTCGCCGCGAACACGACAATATATAAACATGTTTTCTCTATCCCGATAACTATTATTCTGATAACTTTTTTAATATATATATACATATATATATATATATATATATATAAGGTATCGACATTGTGACAAAATTAACAAGGATTTACATCAAGATGTGAAAGATCGAAATGGAAATATAGAACCTTCTATACAAAAATCACCTCAGGATAGAGAAAGACATAAAAAAGATAAGAAAAAGAAAGATGATAAAGATAAACGGGATAATAATAAATCAAATGCACATCGTGACAAAAAAGAAGAGGGAAAGGGTAAAAAAGAAAAAGAAGAGGAGACAAGAGAAAAAAATGAAGGAATAAAGAATAAGAAAGAAAATATAAAAGAAAGAGGAAATGATATGTTAGAAATGAAATTAGAAAGCAAAGATAAACAGGATAAAAATAAGTGGAAAGAAAAGCTATTATTGAAATGTACTTCTTGGGCAGAAATACGAAAATCTGGTTTAACTCTTGATGATATCATTCATCTTAAAAGGCGTGACAATTCGGAACGATCTGTAAAAGTCAGGTACAATATACTTATAATAATTTTGAAAATAAAATTACTTTACAAAGTGTGCGTGTGCGTGCGCGTGAATGTGGTGCGCGCGCGCGCGCGTATATAATATATATATATATATATAATGTGTGTGTGTGTTTTTGTTGTGTGTGTGTGTGTGTGTGTGTGTGTTTTATATGTTTCAGATTAACGCAAGATTATACACGTTATCTTGAACAAATGTTAATGTTAAGTAATCACCGTCTAAAACGTCAAGCACTGCTTGTTGACGGACTTGATGGACCCAAAAAATATCCGCCTGAATCAATTAAGTTGACAAAACGAGCAAGGGGACTTCAATTATTGTATTGTGAAAATCCACGCGTTTCTCTTTTGTTAAGTATTTCGCAACTTTTACAAATCGTCACTCCTGAACGTCGCGAGAGGATACGGGACATATGCGAAGCATCTTTACCACGGTATATTATATTTGTCCTTTATAACGAAATTTTTCTTTATCTATTCAGATTTTTGTAATTACAGGATTAATACAGAAGAAATAGTACAGCAGAAGCGTAATTGGTATCAACAAATAAATGCAATTAAATATCATAAAGATATCAAATGGCAAATGTCTATACAGTTTCCTAAATCGAAGTGGGATAGTGAAGATGAGGAAACGTCAATAATAGCAAAAAGAGAAGTTAAAAAACCAACGAACAAAACGTTACTTGCTTCCATAAATCAACGTAAGTAATTTTTAATAAGGATAATGTATATAACAAGAGTTATTTAAATCTTTGGGATAATAATAGTTCTCATTTTCTGTTTTATTGTAGAAGAAGAAAAATGTTCTACTTCTAATATAATGGACGAAAACAAATTTGATAACAATGTTAAAGACATTAAAGCAGATAAAGAGGCCAACAAAAAAATTATCGAAGATATGACAACAAATGATGAAACTTCGACATCTTCTGGAAATGAAAAATTAGCTTCAGAATATGAACAGTTTATGAAAATGGTATGCACCGCTGATATGACTAAAGAATATTCACCAAAGAAAAATCCCATTAAGTCTACTTCACACAGCTATCACGAATTTAATATAGAATCTAATTTAATTGAAGATAATACAAATATGGAAATATTGTTGAACAATAAATTTGATGAAAAAGATAAACTACAAACTTTAGAAGGATTAATCAAGAGTACAGAATGTGAGGAATCTACTCTTTCAACAGATTGTCAAATACCACTACTTAATGAGCATAATATGCAAACTGAACATATAAATAAAAATAGCGAATCTGAAGATTCCAAATCAATACCAAGTGATTGGGAAAATGTTAGAATCAAAGTAGAGAGATTGAGTGATGAGAACAGTGAATCTAAAGAAATAAAAAAGAAAAAACAAAAAAAATGACAGTTAGCAGCGATTCATCTAATATTTCTTTAGAGTCGGAAAAACATAAGAAAAAAAGAAACGCAAACGAAAAATACTAAGTAACTCATCTTCTTCAGATTCAGATAGCACAGATAGTAGTAGCAGTAGTAGCGACTCTAGTAGTTCGGAAGAAAGAAGGAAAAAAAACGGAAGAAAAAAAAATTGGAAAGAAAAGAAGAAAGGCAAGACGTGTTGTACGAACGAAAAAAAAAGAAAGAAAGATGAGCACTGATTCCAACAGCAGTGATTCAGATGAACACATAAGGAAGAAAAAAAGAATTAATAAGAAAATAATAGAAACCAAATCTATTATTGATGGAGATATAAATAAAATAATATCAAAGTCTACTGTGATACTTTCACCTTCAGATAGAACAAAAGTATTACATTCAGTAACTCCAGTTAGTAAGAAAGTTAAAAAAGAAACGGATGAAAACAGAGAATCTAAGCTATCAACAGAAAAAGTCACTGCTGATATGAGCGTACATAATAATGAATGTTTAAAACAAAAAAAAGAAAGTAAAGAAAATCCTGGTGAGAACTTCATAGAACAATGGGAAATGGATTCTATGATGGCGATGCAACAAAATGACGGTGATACCTCAAGTCAGGATCATATTGGAGAATTGGAGAAAATGGATGGTTTAGAAAAGAGCAAATATAGAAGGAGAAGGAAACATAGTCGAGATAATGTTCAGCAAGACAAAGATAAATCGTCTAAAGATAATGAAGAAAAATTTCATGAGAAGAAAGTAAGATCAGATGAGGAAGTTGAAGCAGTAAGAAAGAAAAGAAAAGAGAAAGAGAAAGATGTTAGAACTAGCGCCGAATTTCTTGTAAAATGGGAAAAAGAAGGTGAGCGTATTACTCAGCAAATGATACAAAATAAAGTTAAGAATCCGAAAAAAATTGAAAAACAGAAAAAAGAAAAATGGGGAGAAACAGATTTTGATACACTGAATGTCCCATCCTTAACACAACTCGAAAAAGAGGTATACGAAAAGCAACTTCTAGCGGATGAATGGGAAGTGGATAGTTTGGAAGCAATATCGGATTTAACTATGGGCAAACGAAAAAATAGTCAGAGTTCATTGAAAAAGATAGAAAAAGAAGTTAGGTATGATAAGAAAACAGATACTTATATTGCAATAGAAAAGGAAAGTGTAAGAGAATTGAAAAAGAGACAGGAACGTTTATGTGCAATAAGAATATGGGAAGAAGAACAAGAGGAAGGTGAAAGAGAAGAAATGATGCTCTTAGAACAAAAGAATAAACGTAAAAGAGATGACTGGGATATAGAAGAAGAATCCTTTTTACATAGAAATATCGAAGAAACGGCAATTTGTAAGGTTAATGATATTGTTGAAATAGGGAAAGAGTGGACTAAAATAGATGAAGAAAAAATATCAAAGAGGATGTAAATAAAGTATTAAAACCAAGTTCTAAACGAGTTAAAAAGAGTCGTTGGGACATGGGTTCGCAATCTGAGGAACAACTAGATTCTAAGGATATATGGGAAGAAGAATATGCGGAATGGACTAAGATTAACAATCATGAGCAAGAACTTGAAAAGACAAAGAAAGAGTTTTGTACTACAGATTATTCAGAAAAATCAATTAAATCTAATATGATAGATTTTTATCATAAAAAGGCACAAAATAGAGAGTTATTAGAAAAATCATGGACATCGGAAGAAGTAGCAATCAGACTTGAGGAAACAAAGAAAGATGTATCAATGAAACATTTAATTTCTACAAAAACAAATGAAGAACAGCTTACATCTATTAAGAAGGAACATCAAGCTAGAAATCAATTGGAAAACATTTTTGAGTCTGATGTAAAGTTCAAGGAGAAGATTATGGAATTATATAGTCCTAGTTCTCCGGCGCTTTCTCAAAAGTCTCAGGTGAGTGTTTTTATCTATCTATATAAAAGTAACCTTGTACAGATACTGGATATCCCATAAAGATTCATAGTGTCAAGTGTGAAATAAGCGTGTGAAACTAATGAACGATTACAAACAAACTTGTTTCTATGAATATAAAAAAAGAATTTGACCATATCAAAGGTCGAAACATTTGAGTTGTGTTGATGGAATTTTTGTAATTGTTAATATTCATTTAAATATTTAGCATTGTTATCTAGCTTTGGCTCGAATAGTCCCTTCATACTCTTTATTTAAACTAAAAACTTGTAATTAAATCGCAAATTAAAATATTGTATAATTAATAAGGATACTTACTCCGTGTGCCTTTGATCTCTGTTTTTCACGCCATATGATTTCCATCATATTAACAAATGAAAAAGCAGGAACGGGTATATAGAAATAGTAAGAGCCCCTATTGATGCTGTTCTTATGTTTTACTCTTTATGTTTTACTCTATTTGTTGTGCTACGTATACCTATCCTATCACGTTCCTATCACGTTCAATTTCATTCGGGGGCGCCAAATAATATGGCCTGCAGTGAATTTACGTTCCATCGCTGAATATCGCTACTGTTATACCTGTGGTTATACTGTGGCTAAAACGCATAAGGATTCTTCTACATTACTCGTAATCGCAAAATGTAGCAATGCAAAGATGTCGCAATCGCAAAAGAATGTAGCAAGTTGAAGTGCGATTGAACGTTCCAAGTCACACAGGATACATGATTCGTCGATTCGTCACTATGTGATTGCAACCTACGTTTGCGATTATAGACTAATATAAAGAGAGTGACTTTGAGAACGTTAGATGAAAAAAAATTAGTTTATAACGATCTTAATATATATGATATATGTTGTTGTTCGTTAGTATCATTAAAACTTATTTCTATTACACAATACGAGTTTAAAAGTTGATCTCTTGACCAATCCGATTGCTGATTGATGATAGTTTACAGTTATACAAAAATAAAGTCCCCCTTTTCTTGGGACCCGAATAAACAAAGTGTTTTCCGATGGATTTTTATTCGCTGAAAATCTATTTTGATCTATTTCGACTATTACTTTTTACCGAATCATAAAAATTTTAACACATTAGCATTTTAATTAAATCGAGCCGTCCCATTTTTGTATAAAAAGTATCTCGACAAAAAATTATAATAAAAACATAAGAAACTTGTTTTATACAAAAATGGGACAGACGAGCTCATTTTAGCTACACTGCTGGGTTAAAACTTTCATGAAATTTCGGTGAAATTAATAATCGTACCGTAAAAAATACAATTTATATTATAGGTAAAAGATAATACGTTGAAGTGGCGTAAATGAAATTGCTAAAGAAAATTTATTTTTTGATCACAAAAAAATAGCAAATATGGCCAAAAACGCTAATTTTAGGAGACTGTTTACCTCAATTTTCTCGCCTGATGTCAAACCTGATCGGCCAATTTCGCTGCCGGATTTGTTTGTTTTCAGCAAACAAAAATCCATCAGAAAACACTTTGTTTATTCAGATTCCAAAGAAGTATTGATCTATGTAATCGCTGCTCCAATGATATTGTCATCTCTTGGACAAATGGGTGGTCATTTTTTGGACTCTTCTAGATATATATATTTCAAGAGCGAAAGTCTATTCTCTTGAGCTATTACCAATTACCAAATTACTCTTGCATTGAACCGCGATTTGAAACGCGATTTGACTATCTTGCAATTGCAATAAATAATTTTTTAACTGTCATCTCCAGAGATATTGATGCATTTGCTCTAAGTGTTGTCACCTCGATAAACGATTTGCTTATACTATTTTTCAATTCAGACTCAGTGTAAACTATCATATCGTTAAGGAAGCATTCTGCTGAAATGTAACTTGTGTCAATGTACACATTTGAGTCTGTGTCAATGATCCAGTATATCTAGTAAAGTATCTAGTAAATAACTACAAATGCTGCGTGCTATATAATTCGTGCAATTCCAGTAATTTTCCAGTAAATTGATTTGATGATTTGATGAACACGAAAAATAGCACGTAGGCTTTGTAAATTCATCAGATAAACTGAAATATGTTTTAAAAATCTATCATCTATTCTTATATAATACTAAAGTCGAATAAGTGCTGACATCACGTTAACTCATGAACATGGTTACTCAGATGAGTGCTAAATGCTTTTATTTAGGATATTAATAAAAAAAAGAAAGTCATTCGACCATTATCCTGTATAGAAATTTTATAATTTCTACTATAATATAATTCTAATAATTTATTATTACAATATTATCATATATAGTAATATTATTTTCTCTGTTATTTTCTAATTACTCCTTTTTTATTTTTACTTATATTGATGATTACTTTACTGCATTTATTTTTACAAAGAAAATTACATTGCAATATTATTTTAATGTTACGTTATAATACTTTTGAGAGCAGATATTTCGACATTGTTTTACATAAATATTGCAAAAGTATTTCGCAACATATTTGCGATATTACAATAAGATATGCAATAAGATATTTTGTAATCTTTTTGTGCTATGTATAGATAATATTATGATAATTTTATTTGTATTTTATTTTTCCATTTCAAAAAAATTCTAAGATTTAAAAATAAGATTCAATTATGTTGATTCACCATATTGCTTACACGATTTGCATATACGCGGTAATATTCTATTCAAAAATTCAAAAATTAGAGAAGCTAAAAAATAGCGGATTAAATATCTTATCGTTTCTAAGCGCTAACATTTAATCGCCTCCACGTGGCTTCATTAATTCATAAATTTGGTAAAAAGGAAAATGGATGGAAAATGGAAAAGAAAGGCTTATACTGCCGCATTGGCTAGTGAAAAGTTTATTTATAAATATATTTTATAAAGGTATACTTTAAAATGGTAAACGGAAAGATTTTCCGTTTTCAAAAACTTGCTGCAAGCCCTAGGCAAGTATCTTGTTTGACTATTCGCCATTGGCTAAAAAAATCTACTGTGTGTTCTTATATTATAAATTACGTACATATGTGCGCGAGCATATGTATATATGTATGTGTGAGTGTGTACATGTGTGCGCTTATGTGCAAATACATGCATATGCAAAATACATATATTTAACAAAAAAAATGTCATTGTGAATGAAAAGAGTAAAATATTGAAAGTAATAATATTAATGAAAATATTATTGCGATCCTCTTATTGATAATTCTAATATAGTGCGCATCTTGAAGTAATATCCTGTTATTCTTTAGATGTTATTCTTTATAGAATTTATTCTTAACGTATTATATTATTGAGATGTATTTCTTATTTAAATATAAGTATTTTTCTTTTACTTTCTAGGATATAGAAGTATCTAATGACAGTAATGGTTCTAATCTTTTGAATCTTGATGAGAAAAGAGAGAAAAAAATATTAATTACAGCAGATAAACTATCAATTCCTATGTCTGATATATCTTTACAATTAACAAAATTACATGATATTAAGTATGGATCAAAAACTGAAAAAATAGGAGAAATTTTAAATAAAGTACAATTAGAAGATAAAGATTCTACCCATGATTTTGATCTTAAAAAAGCTGATAATTTGTTTGATGACTTATCAATGAATGAATTGTGTCCAAAGACAAAGATACAAAGCTCAGAACATATGGATATTTTCGCAGAATGTGGAACACAGAATGTAAGCATTAGACGACATACTATGAGTACCAATGTAAGCTCGAGGAAACATACAAAAGGTGATGAAGCGAATGAAGGAAAGAATGCTCTTAAACTCATTCCTAAACAACTCTTGATTCGTCGTACTAATGAACAAGTAAAACCGAAACGTATTTTAGAAGCACCATTACAGAATCCTGCTCAACATGCAGCAGCCTTGTTAACAATACAAAAGAAGCTATTAGAATCACATGCATTAAAAAACGATATTAGAGAATTGCCGAATGCAGAGCAAACAGAGCAGTTGAGACATGACATAATAAATAATAGCGAAATTAATACGCCATTAGACACTGAATTTGATATGGTTTCCAAATCGTCGGAAACAGCGATAAGACGATCCAAATCCCCAGTATCAGAGAAAGCAATTTTTATTCGTTCTGAATTATCTGAGAACTATGATAAAGAAAGCAAAAACAGTGTAAAGAAAAATAGTCAAAACAAGAGTAGTCGAAATCTAAATGATACTAATTTTCAATTAGGTCTATTATCTCCTGTCCACAGAAGGAAAAGTCCTAACAAGAAAGAAAGTGAAAAACAATATTCATATAACAAAGATAAGAACGAAACAAAGTCCGATGATATAGAAAAGCCTGATGCAAAGGATTCAAGAAGTTATAAAGCAGATTTTGTAAATAAGAGAAAATTGAGCCCTTTAGGACGTGAAAGAAGAAGAAGAAGCAAGAGTCCACATGTTTCGTGGGAGAGCGAAAGTGGAAGTCCTGGTCCTGGCAGTTGGAGCAGAAGTCATAGTAGAAGTCCAAAGAAGAAGGACGAAGCTACTACTAGTACGCGAGATAGAGATAAGAAAAAGGAAAAATATGATAATGAGCGATCAAGTAGATCGTGGATGGATGAAAAAAGAGAGAGATATGCGCGGTCTCCAATATGTTCTACTTACAATGAAGGTAAAAAAATTATAACAATTTACTCTATATAAAGTATTCTACTCGATTTTATTAAATATTAATTTATTTACAGATAACTTTAGAAAACATGGTACTGTATCTTCTAAGAGCAATCGTGATGATTGGAATAGAAAAAGACATATGGATAGAGATTATGAAAAAGATACTAGATCTTACGATTCAATAGAGATTTTGAGGGATAGAACAATGGAATCTGAAAAATATAGGCACAACAGGTATTGTCATAAAATGTTTATTTGAATATTATATGTAAGAGGATGAATTTTTTTATGTATTACTTTATTTACACTAATTGCTTACTTAAAGTTAATGATCTGACATATAGAGTATTAAATTATTCTAGATATTATATTATTTCTTTTATGTTACAATGTAAACATTGGATTATAACATTGAATATATAACAAATATTGTTTAGATTTCATACGGAAGAATTGAATCATACGTTCTGGCAATATGAAAACAGCAATATCTTACGAGATAGTAACGAATCTATGGATTCTTATGCTATTGGACAAGATTTGCCTCTTGAATATGACGATCGAATGTATTATAGAGAAAGAAGTCTAGAAAGGGATATGATACAATTTTCACCTAAATCATTATTAAAATATAGAAGAAGGTATAAATCTTATGAACTTCTATCTATTAAATTTAAAACTTAACTTAACTTTAAAATATTGTAAAATTTTTATTCAATGATTTCAATATCTGTTAAAGGTATAGTTTTTACTTAAAACAGTCGAAGCATTTAACATTTTTCATTTAACTGAAATAGATCTAATATAAAAAAAGAACGGCAATGGGAGAAAGACAAAGATTCTTTAGAATTGGATCGTCATAGATATCCAGAACATAGATTACGAAATCGGACACCACCGCGATCAAGGTATTCACCTATGCGTCAAGCTCCAGAACGATTTCGACGAAAATCTAGATCACGCTCGAGATCTTGGTCGCCGTTAAGATCCCGAACGCGATCTAGATCGAGGTCGGAATCGCGTTCCAGATCGATGTTAAAATCAAAACCAATAATGAGATCACAATCGAGATCAAGAAGCAGATCTCCATTGGATACGAAATCAAGAGAGAAATCAATTTCTATGTTGAAATTAAGAAGCCCAGAACATGGGTTTAGAATAACTGAATTGCAATCTTCCAGGTAGAATTTTATTTAGTTTGCATAAATAGTATAATAGTAGTATATCATTCGTCTAAATATAAATTTAATAGTAAATTTATAAAAATAAATTTATAAAAAATAAAAATAAATTTTGAATATAGATCTTCACCTGGAATGGACAGACTGAATGAAATAGGAAGAGAAAGGAAAAACGAAGATGAAAATAAAAATTTAGCACTTGTGGCGAAAGGGGCAGACGTATAGAGACTATTGTTCAGTCAGGAGTTACATCGGCAACAAGCATCCTAAATTCAGAAATGGATATTAATAGCAATATGGATACAACTGTTGCAAACTTCCAATATGCAAATGAAATAGAGGATGGAAATGAATATTATTATTCAGAAAATAATCTTACTTATCCCCCTTGTATGGATGAGTCATCTACAAGTTCCCCAAAACGGTTATCTCTTGATGATAGGTAAGGATTGTGCTAAATTCTTTCAAACTCATTTTTATATATATTATTTCAAGAAAGCTTAATTTATTATCTTATTTATTATTCTGTTTGTATAAAAATATGTTTTTGAAATGTGTTACAATCATCTTGCTTGCGTGCATGCGTGCGTGTATATGTTT